GCATCAGATTGTTGCGGCACGGCGTCACGGTGCTCTGTGTACGCGTGTTTGTGATCCCCACCCCCGACTCAACCACATTTCTGTGCAGTGAGAAGATGTTTACAAAAACAGCCACGGTTCTCTGTCGAGGAATGTGAGTCAGGGAGAAGGGCATCAGCTAAGCTACGCGTTGAAAACAACAACAAAAAGACTAATGATGGATATGACAAATTCCTTTGATCACTTTGTTGTTAAAAGACACTGAGTAGCTTGAATCAATTCATTCATTCATTTTCTAGATCAATTCGGCAATGACAAATAAGGCAATATGAATGAATACACTAGAGGTCTCTGGCTGAAGTTCACACCATAGACATTGAGGCTTATGGGTTGTGTAGTTTGTAGACTAAAATCAGATACGAGGTAATATGTGGCTAAAAGAACCGATTAAAAGTCATTAAGACCAGACATAATTGTCCAGTCGTCAGCATGCCTTGGCTGGTATATTTCTGCTTTAGTTGCCTATTTAAAGCTAGTTGAAAACACTGTATACGTTACTAATTATTTTCTCTACTTTCCAAAAGCTGAATTCAAATAATCCTTTTTAGACTTTTCCAAAGCGATGATAAAATGTTAACGTCGCTCTGGAGCGTCTGTCGAAAAGCCGACAAAACTGAACACACAAGCAAACACACTCGAGTCTGTTTGCTGGTCGGCTGACAAAACTGTGAAGTGTGGCGGTGAAAAGGGTCAGGTTTGTGTTTTTCATCCTCCGATTGTGTTGTTGGGAAAGACAGCGAGGAACACAAACACACACACACAAGTGCAAGCTCAATGGAGAAAGAAAATGCATTGTCCAGTTAGGAGCAGTTGTAAGGGACACTTGGAAAGATAAGAGCAGAGGAGGAAGCACTTAGGAAAGACACCCCAACAGTTAATTTCCTTTAGCACTACATATTGCCTTCCTGGCCAACACTCAAAAAACGCAGCACACAGCTGGTGGAGTCCTCAGTTCATGACCCCCATTGTCTGCAGGCTCTGTGAACACGGACTACCCAAACGTACAATGGCAATCTGCGTTCAGCGGTACAGCTGCATTGTGAAAGCCGCCATTCTGCATGCAAGTCCATTAAAACATCCAGCAAAGGCTGTTCTACCAGCGCGGCGCGAGAACAACACGCATCACAGCAGCAGTAAATCACTTCGGACTCATTTTGAATGTATACAGTATGTGTGAAATGACGTGTAGAAACATTAAAATGTTAATCATGTGGATTCAATGCTATGTTAACACATTCTAATTTGCGATAGGTGTGTTTGTATCTGAATTCTTCCTTAAACCTACAAGTCGTGTTGTGCCAAAACCCCAACATTGCCAATAAGCACTATTATGCTTCATTAGCTGTGGTTAAGATTGTTGTGGGAGAAAATCTAAATATCATTGGTGTGACGGACCGTTTAGCGACGATCCTTAGCTGCCGATATTCAGTAAAATCATCGCTGATCGGCATTTAGTATCGGCGGCAAAAAACAACAACATCCATTGTGAACAACAGATCCTCGTAGAAATCGACAGGAGGAGAGCTAGTTAATGTTAGCTGTTGGCCACAGTGTTGGCCACAGTCCTGCGGGGCTAACAGGTTGCATTGAGTTACATTATGATGCTTTCAGGCTCTATTCAGTAAAAATGGGCAATGGTAAATCATAGCGTTATCATGACGCGTTGAAATGTAATCTTGCAAAATGTAGTTTGTGGCGAGAAACTTAAATAAATACACTTTTATTAATGAAGATGTTTTCACAGCAATATAAAATAAACATTAGAGAGATAAGCAGGTAATAATACATCATTAAATGTACTAATGACAGGATCTTTTAATCAAGAAATCAAGAAATATGTTAATAAAGATTTCTGCTGTGCTCAGAGGCCATTGTATCTGCCCAATAAAGCCCTCTGAGGTCTCCTTAAATAAAGTATTGGATTCAGTTGTGACATTCTTTGCCTCAAACATTAAAGCTCGCTAACTTCGTCACAACACACATCGTGCAATTTGTCCATTTGATGAATTGGATGTTCGGTGGGTCAAGGGGGCCACTCGGGACTCAGGGGCTAGTGCTAACATGCAGCTCACTCTTGAGCCTGCCCGCTCTGGTACACACTGTTCTCATGCATGACCACCTCCTCCGGACACACACACACACACACACACACACACACACACACACACACAAAACATACATTGCCCGGAAGTGGGCCGGTCAGGAGCTGAGAGATGAGATCCTGCAGACAGCACAGGGTGGCTGGGGTGCACACAAATATACGTGCAACACATACACACACTCACGCACACACACACACACAGGCACCTACATGGTGGGCCACTTCAAACACATTCCACAGCACGCACAGCATTGTCGGAAAATGCCACTGTGCACTCCAGTGAAGAGAGCCCGAGAATCCAAATGGGCTACAGACAAACTCACGAGGACATCTCTAGTCGTCCTAATTTTCAAAATCAACACGTTACTCCACCGGCAGAGTCGGGAAAAACAACTCTCGGTCCTGAATAAATGAGACTGCTTTGGACATTTAGTTCACATCGTCGGGGTGGGAGATTCTTTAGGCTTTGCCGTCTGTGTGACTTACTTGATTTAAGAAGCATACAGACTGTGGAAAGCATACGTAACAACACGCATGCACACTACCCCTTTCCAACAAAGCTGTGCTTACAAGCCTGAGAGGAACAAGAAGGGGGCAAGGCTCCCAGTTGCACAACTTGTTTTTCGCGAGTTAGACCCGGAGATGGCTACTTACTTCAGAAAACTGCTGATGACTATGACAAACTGAAACAACCCAATCAAAATCCACAAACAGTCTAAAAGGCTTTATTACTTTCTGTAGAGAGCACTGAGCACAGGTTTGTATATCAATATGGCTTCCTCTTTTCCATGGCTAAGGTGGAGATGGCAGGCAGCGTGTGCATTCAGAATTAAATATTTCAAGTATTTTAGGCGTAAACAACTCAAGAGTGCCAAATATGGTCACTTCCCAGAGAATTGAGTGCATCAGGAAGCAGAAACAGCCAATGACATGGACCCCACTACCCGAGAGAAAGAGAGAAAGAGAGAGAGAGAGAGAGAGAGAAGAGAGAGGAGGAAGGAGGGGTACCAGCAGCCCTGTCTCCTAAGACCCCCTTTCAGAGGCCTCTGTTCTGTCTGCATACATGACCAGTGTAAAGGAGCCAGGACATTTCCTTAGAACCTGGCCGCTGGGAGCAATTTTTAAGTAATACAACTGAAAGTTTGAACAGCCTGAACGTTTAAATAACAAACAAATGAAATACAAGATACAGCAAGTTTTTTAATGGTTTCATTACGCTTGTTCCCTAAATTTAGACTGATGTAACAGCTCACTTGCTCTACCTACATGTACCGAAACACTGTGTGGACTTGTGCAACACATCATCTACAAACACTGAACACAAATCTCAAAAATACAAATGTGGGTCAAAGGTTAAACCACTGATAAACCCAGTCAAGTGTTGTTTATTTAATTTGTATTTCGAATATTCTTTATTAACAATTAATATGTTTTCAATTGAGGCAAGCTGAGTTACCAGAAGCTACCAACCACATGGTCAAATTAAATGTGTTATCTACTTTAATTAAATTCTCTCCCACTGTCGATACCTTTTCAAAAATATAACAAGATTGACTCATACAATTTGGTCTATTATTGTACTATTTACCCAATAGAGATCTACTTCAAGATTGTGGATGATCTTTATTTTTAAATATATAAACAGATTAAAAGTGTCTTTCCTTCATTATGTGACTGCTTTAATGCAGCCAACGATAAACACGTCAATTGAAAACAAAAAAAATGATAAATGATCACTCCACTGGTGTTGTTATGGCGAGATTAGGCCGTTTACAGCGGGACCATTATCTCCAGCCCCCCCCCCCTCTCTCCCTCTCTCTCTCTCTCTCTCTCTCTGGCACAGCGACTGTTTATGTTACTCGCTGCGATCTAAAAACCCAATTCATTAATAACAATAACAAATGAACACCACCGCAGAAACGATATCCTCTGGCGAGGAAGACGCCCATGCTATGGTGCGATCTGTTCGAGAGCAATGTAGGCTAATCCACCACCTATAAAGAGACTTCTTAGCGTCGGCGGCTAATTTGTTTACGTTCAGGCTGCAGCAACCGCGCGTGTGTGTGTGTGTGTGCGCGTGCGCGCGCGCGTTGTTTTCGACGCTGAGTCTGTCGCCATAAGAGGCCTAGCTGCGCTCACAGGGCCAATCCTGCTACTCCCCGTTTAGACTCGCTGCAGCAGACCACACTCGTCCAGTTACAGCGACTAATCTGGCCCTGGGGCTGGCGCATCCAACACAGGCCGCTGAAATATGCGTGTACCTTTAAGAGACGGCGCGAGAGAGAGGGAGGAGATATTAATCAATAAATGTTACGCAGAAATATCAATTATTATAGCGCGGCTACGCAAAACGCAACGCCTGGAATTACTAGCCCCTTAATTAGACCCTTGTGAAACTTTACGCATGCGCCAGATTGAAGGCGAGAGCCTCGTGACTAAAATCGCAATCTTAATTGATGAAATAAAGAATAATAATAACCGTAGTGTTTTTTCGGAGCACCATTAGCTACGTTATATTCCACAGGGGACTTAATAATAATGTCAGTGATAAGACAAACTTACTTAAGATGTTCTAACAACATTCCTGTTGTAATTACAGTCTGTGTCGAGCTCTTTGGTATGTTTACGTTGTCTTCTTCATACTTAATGGTAGTTTATCCTCCTATAGAGACACAATAATCATAAACTAATGTACATTCTACACGTGTAAGTTCTCCTGGTATCACTTTGAGTAACAAATCATTAAATTGAGCTTTATTCTACATTTCTTTATATCAAATAAACAAGGAAACAGTGACAAATGTGTCATGACAGACATACAGCCACATTGATAGAAAAATATAAAAAAATAAATACTTACTTTCTCCGTTTATTAGTCCACATTGGCATATAATGCAGGTGCCGATGATTAAAAACACAATTTGTGCTCGCAGCTTTAACGTCCACCGTCTCATTTTGACTTGAAGATAAGTTGAGCTCAACTCAACTCTTCAAGCTTCTCAACAAAAATAAAAGAGTCTATTTCAACAGGCGTTGGGATATCAAAAGTACTGAACAAAGTCCTACAAATGAAGGTCCAATACAGCCCGCTGACTCAACGTTGCCCCCCGTAAGCCGGGGGGAGTTGTGCATTTATGAGTATCTTCCCAGCCAAGTTTGCGATGTCGGCTGTGTGAGCCCTGGAGGAAAACGCAGACCACTAAATAACGTGATCTTGGTTTCTGGCAACTCATGTGCGAGTAAATATCTTCATTTTCCATCAGTGAAGGCGAAAGTCTCCACGTCCATGTGTCTAACGCTGGAGAGGAATTACAATTATTATTTACGCAAGGGGGGGGGGGGTTGGTTTGGGGGGGGGGGTCCTCCGATGGAGGGCCAATGGCCCCGTGCGCACTGCTCCAATGAGGGAAGACCCACCTTAAAAAACAACAATCGGTAAGAATGTGTTCAAAACAGCCTCCGCTTGGGTTCCTCCCGCAGAAAATGAGCTGAAGTTATGGATCTCGCCAAAGAACGAGACTCGACAGGGTTTGCGCTCTCTCTGTTTTATAGTCCACAGGTCCTCTTTTATATTACCCCCCTCCCTGTTTGCGTGTATCTTCTCAGAAAGCGGAACCTTTTTTAAGACAGATGGGAGCACATCCCAGGAAACTCCTACGTACAGGAGAAGCGTGCAGCGGTACAGCTTTTCCCCGCTACGACCTTCCTCTGAACTCCCTCACCTCCGCTGACCACCTCGCGCCGCAAGCACCCATAAAAAAACGAACAAAAACGGGAGAAAGAAAACAAAGAAAACTTGGGAGTGAAACGTGACTTCTTTCTCGTCTGCTGCGTAAAGAGGGGAGAGAAAGAAGAACGTCTCCGTTTAACCTGCACGTTGCTGTGAAGTGAGGGAACTCTCCACCACGCCGCCCGATGCTTTTTCTCAGATTAACGTTAGCTGATGGGGGGGGGGGGGGGACAAGCTAACGTTAGCTAGCTAATCCAAAACAAACGAGGTTTCGGTGACGGCGATAGAGTTAAAAAAATAAAATAAAAAACACACACACACACACGCGTTGACAAAGTCCGTATCACGTCCCCGATAGTGAAACAAACGATGAGGTAAACAAACGTAAAAATATTTTAAAAAAAAAAGACGAGCCCAAGTGTTAAAAACTTGGATTCCCGTTCCGTTTAGCGGTTGCTCTCCCTCAGGTTCCCCCTCTTTCCGTCTCTCTCTTTCTGCGAGTCTCTCCACCAGTAAACAAGTCCTGCCAGTCACCTCAGCTGGGCCACACGTGGTCCGCTGGAAAACACGGAGTGGAGTAGCCCGGCACCCAACCAAACAACCAACCAGGGTCCGGATCGGGACTGTCTGAGCCGGCGCTCGCGTTAGCGTCAAAACACCGGCGCTCTTTGTCGGAGGAGAGCGGGGGGGGGGAATGCACATCAACGTCCTCGTTAAAAACGGGAATAGAGTAAATGAAGATATATTTAAAAAATATGTCGAGCAGAGGATCCGCTTTCTTATATCATGTATGTGTGTTTAAATGGGAAAATTCACCTGCTAAATTGACTAGTTAATACTGTACAGTGGATTGTTAGATAAAGGGAAGTTTGTAGCCTGTTCTTCAGTACAGATTGTGGATAAAATAACAGAAACACAAGCGTCCTGCACTAATGACCATTTTAAGGCATATTAGGATTATGATTAAGCTCCTCATCATTTTTCTCAATTAATTGTTTTGTCTGCAAAATGTCACAAAATTCCCTGCATGTTTTTCAGACGACCAACAGTCCAGAACACAAGGTGAGTTTACCATCATGCAGTCGGACAAAGAGAAGCAGATAATCCTCACGTTTGAGAAATTCAAGATTGATCATAGCTTGAAAAATGGCTGAGACGATTAATCGATTATCAAAATAGTTGCAGTTTAATTTCCTTAATTGATCGAGTAATCTTCTCAGCTCTAACCAGTTTGGCCTTTGTCACTTGTTTTTTATTATGATCTTGTATTTGGATGAGAAAGAACTATATAAAAATGGTCTTTATAGCATTATTTCTCAACCAAAAACAAAACCTATCATTTAAAGACTAGCCTTGATTTAAGTTCACAATGTTCCCGTTGATTCACTGACTGAACAAGACAAATTCATTCATTTGCAAACATATCTTCAGCATCATACGTCGATTTCATGCATACTTAGCGTCCGATATAAGTGTCTATACCAATATAGTTGACATATATAAACAGATATTATTTTTTATACAAGTATTTTCAGATAGCAGCATAGAGGCAGAGAGATTTGTGGCCAAAACACCATGTCTCTGTGTCGTGGAGCAGTGTAAACGTTGCACACTGCCTTGGCCCTGCAGCCAGGAAGTCAAATACCTGCCCGCAGTAACGAAAGCACACACAATTCCCTCAGATTTGCATATTATCCTTAGAATGAAACCTGTCCTGATGATGTAACTTAACGATTCAGACACACAACACCTGGGAGTTTTTCCTCCGAGCACCTTCAGGGCGGCTGAATCGACTCTCACTTTAACATGGGACTGATAGAAGATACCAGAATAGAATATAGTAGAACATGTGCCTCTTGTTTATCACGGTATGGTGCAGTTCGTGCGCTTGGATGGGTACGTACTCTACTCTGCTAAGAGCTTGTTGAGCAGGCTTGTTAATCTGAGGAATGTTGTTACCCAGTGAACAGAGTAAATGAGGTCTTAGTGAAATTATATGTCACAGGTCTGAAGGACTAAGGGTTGTGGAATCTAGTCAAAACAGATCTCTTTGTGGCAGTCACGCTGTCTGACGCCAACTGGAGGCACACACGTGCAGTCTCTTCTCATATCCTCTTCACACACTTCGTCCCACTTCCTCTCAGGTGCTGTGCATTACATCACTTTCTTTCCTTTTTGTCAGTGGGAGTAGAGGAAGTCAAGTGAATGGCTTCTCATCCCACGAACCTAACTGGAGTGCTGTTTTGAGTCTACACATGCAGCACTTGTGCAGCACACAGCCGTTGTACTACGACTTCATTTCAGTAGGTGGCACTAAAAATAACTCCAGCCAATTCACTTACTCCAAATGTCAAACCGGGACAAAGGGATACAACGTTGTGAATAAATAGGATTCAATTCAACAAGAGAGGAGAGTGTAGGGAGATTCAGCCGATGTCAAGTAAACATAATGTGCATCTGTTAGCATTTATGCAGTTCTCTGAGGTTGTAGAGATTCATTGCTTCCTGCAAATGAATAATTATAATTTGAGCATGTGTGTCTTGAACATCTTTATTGCACTGGTTCTGTAACCCACAAAGGCAGTATTCTCCACTGGGAACATGGATATTGCAAAGCCCCAGTGCCGGTTATGAACATGTTGACACACCTCTTTTTATCACGAGCTCTGGGGCAGGTTCGGGGCGTGTCCACCTGGTTACTGGAAGTTGATTCAGACCGGAGGATATGAAGATATGTGAATGACACAATGATGGGTGACAGATGACAAAAAAAGCTGCATGCAGGGTCAACACTCATTGTGTCAGTGAAAGCTGTTGCTGCTCGAGCTGTTGCTCAAGCTCCTCAATGTCTCAAAGTACATCTTGTCTTCTGGGAAAACAGCACATATCCACGTTTTTTTTTAACATTGTCAGCAGTAGCACCACACAATATCTGCACTTGCTTTCACCAAGGTCTGTTCTGTTCCTTCAGGTCCAGCAAGGTATTGAACATATATAACTAAGAATCAAGTCAAAGTAGTAATTAATATACAATTCATAAAGCAGGGAGGAAGTCTGTTTATAAATTAGAGACATTAAAAACATGAATAGATGAAATGCAGATGCTTCCATACAAGGAACAAGGGGCCATCGATTGATTTGATTATGGACGCACTGATCCACTTTTTCTTCCCTGTTACTTATTCCAATACCTCGACTCAACAGAGTGTCTCTTTCCTTTTGTTGGCATGGAAGGCTCAGTAATTAGCTGCCCGGGGAGCCAGGAAGCAGGAATCTCCGTTCATCCCGTGTGTGTGTGTGTGCGTGTGTGTGTGTATGCATGAGGGCATCTGTGTGTGTTTATGAGTGTGAGATGTCCACCAAGGAGAGGGTCATGAGCTTAAACAGACAAAACGTTCCTGGATTATCCTCTTCAAACGGCTCCCTGTGTTAGTCATTTACACCTTAAGGCTTAAGCACTTGCTGTTCCTGCACTTCAGTCCCGGTAGCCTGCAGCTGAGAGACAAACAGACAAACAACGGCTCCTCTCTCACTGTCCGATTCCCTTGTTGTCTCTCAATCGCACAATGCAGTCACATGTACTGTAGGTTGTCGTTAAAGCAAGAGGGTCCACACTTGTTGCTCTCATGTGGAGGAACTTCACATCGCTCCTTCTGCAGACGTGACATCGGGAAAAGGGAGAACACAGAAACACCCACAACAGAATTTGCTGCATACGCATTAACTATGGCAAAAGGAATGTATTTATGTACATCTGCTGAAATACCTGCTTCAAATCAAAAAGCATGTTGTTAGCTTACGTTATGTACATATAGTATATTTATGCTATGTATGTATTTGTTTCCCATGTATATCGAGCATCTTGGACAACAACATTTCCTTTAGGAGGAATAACTCTTATCCTGTCTTTGTTCCAGGTTGTGAATGGGATGGGGTGAAGCTGGATGGACTTAACTGGTGATCCAGGCGATTCAGGTTAAGCGAAGGAGCAGTACACCTGCTGACTCTGTGTGGAACCGCTTATCTGAAATAGGAACAGCGAGGAAGATGAAGGAAGCTGCTGACTATAACTAGATGTCAGACTAAGCCATTGATGAGGAAGACTAAAGCTGTTGGAAAGAACACCGCGGCCGGCTCAACGCTATGATTATGTGCCCTATGATGCGTTCAGTGATCCGATAAATCTCTCACACGGACCGCACAACTCATGTTGATAATCCATGTTGATAACGGCTGCCTTTCTGGTCATCGGATTGATCCACGGAGTTCCAGTCTGTCCGTGTTAGTCTGTCTCGGTTTGATCAGTCACCTCTGCCATTAATGAAAAATGAAACCAATGGTACATTGTGCCATCTATAAAGCAGCTTGATATGCATTACGGGGGGTTTCTGAATCACAGAGTACACACTGTGTGTCAATCAGCCTTTTCAGAGTATCTTCTTGTACACAGTTTGCTGCTCCCTCAGCATCTCAGCAGCAGATTCAGACACAAGTCATGCGAGCACATGTAAGATATTTAAAGCCCTCTATCTGCTTTTCCCCATTCTCCTTCCTCATGTATGCTCCTCAGGGCTTAAGTTTCATTGATTTATTACCATAAATGCATTCTGCAGAAACCCAGCATAAAACTCACACATACATGTAATCCAGGAGATATATTATTCTTATAGGGGGAGATTAAGAAAAACTCTCCTGGAAAGCCTCTCATTTGATAAGATGATTTGCTGTAAAAACACTATAAATTCACAATTGACTCACTTTTATAAAGACCATTTATATGTGCCAGTGGCAGCTCGTGTCTGTATGTTCCAGTTTAATGAAATCAATTCAGCACAATACATTTTTGTGGTGGAGTTTATTGAATTAGTCAATTGACAAAAAATGGATTTTAATTGAATTGAATATACTTCATAACGGTGAACATATACAGTCTTTCAATAAGCAACATCCGAATCCATCAATACTCAATCAATCACAACTACCTCTCTGCCGACATCAATGCTCACAACTAAACCACCATGTTCATCCTCGTCACAACGCCGTCCAATCAAGAACGTGAATACCAAGAAAAGAAAGAAAACCAACAACAACCAAATCACCATTTGCATACTTTACATTCTGCGTCCTCCTTTCTGTACCTCGCCAAAAATACTTGTTTGTACATCTTTTTAAACTGTCTCATATTTTTTTTTACTTTGTTTAATTTCTCCATTTTACTAAATCACCCCACAACCACCAAACAATGTTATAACTGATTGTTTAGGTCATTTCTCTGGTAATATTCACTGGCAAACTGAATGTGTTTGGGTTTTTGTTAGTACAACAAAACAATCAAAAATGAAAAAAGGCGGTTATGTAACTCTCTGTGGCTGACTGTTGTGAAATTAAGTAGTTACGGTAAACGGGGAAATGGCCACCATTTTAACACATAACCGTTTTCCTGGCATCTACTTCCTTTGGTTCTATATGTCACGCACACCAAAGTGTCTCTATAGCAGTTTATTTTCCAAGGAAAAGGTTTGACTTCCTCTTTCAAACAGC